ATTTACATCACTGACAGGAGTAAACTGGTATGATCTTGCTGTGCTAGAATTGTAAGTAGTGCAAGTAATCTAATTATGTTGTATTGTAAGCAGTGTAAGTATTAGCATTGTTAGTAGAGCGAGTATGCGTATTGTATAGAGTAAGTGTTAGTATCATAAGTGGCGTAAGTAATAAGTTCTTTTGTAAGTAGTGTAAGTAGCAATTAATTAAAAGAAAAGAAAAGAAAAAAAAGAAAAAAGAAAAATTTCAGCGATATTTGGCAAACAGGTATTGTGAAAAACATGTTGCATGACGGCTTTACTTTCCCGTTATAACACTAAGGATGTGTTTCTTTAAGAAAATCCAAGATTGGATTTTCTAATCCGAAAACGGATTTTGCGTTTCTTTACTAGACAGATCAATCCAAGATCACTCGGATCATGTCGCTCAAAGGAGAAGAATCTTTGCCCAGAGTGGATTCTTCGGTTCCTTTGACGCACCATGATCTAAGAGATCTTGGATTAATCTGTTTAGAAAAGAAACACAAAATCCTTTTCGGATTTAAGAATCCAATCTTGGATTTTCTTGAAGAAAGGCACCCTAAGTCTGCTTGTGTTAAGTAATTCAATATGTTGTTTTGAGTATGCATAAATTAAAACTTTGACTGGGTTATTTAAAAGAGCTTACACTAAATTTTCAGTTCTTTCTTAGATTCTCGTATGAAAACTTCTTTCAGTGAAGAAAAAGTCAGCTGCTATGCCATTTGGGAGTGAAGCACTTCTAAGCCAGTTGTTAGTTTAAACTCATTTTTAACGTGACATGAATTTATGTCACTCTAGAATTTTACACGGTCATTTCTTGGAAAATTAAATCTTAGAGCCTTAATCTTTCATTACCCAGCAGTTTTGATCCTGATGTAGTAAATATCCTTATAAATGATGTAGGATAAAAAAGCGTACATTGTGTGAAAAAAATATGCCTAGGAGATTAAAATAAATGACTTTAGTCTTGTTATTTATGGATATGGAATTTCCATCGGGTAGGGGGACCCAAGTAGAAAAATCATGGAAATTCCAGCAGATGGTGGGGAGTACCGTGAAGCCCCCTATAATGGAAAATTGCGGGGGTGGGAGTCAAACTGGGAAAAAAACACCGTGGGGGATATGGACATTTTCTGGAACCACTCATTGAGTGTGCTAAATGTGTTATTGTATAAGGTTTAATTCAAAAGGGAAATCAAAGAGAATTAGTTCATCTAAGCTCCATATTATTGATTAACATTATTTTTGCATATTAAATTGATTTAATTATCTTTATTAACTAAAGTAATTTTGGGCTAGCTCCTCAGAGATTTGGGCTAGGAAGATGAAATTACAGCTTACCTGAAGGGCAAGCAAAGTTTTTGAATTTCATCTCACCCAGCATGGCTGAACAATGTTAAAGTGGTCTGAGCTGAGTTTTTAGAATTAAAATGCCCTTGAAGTGTCCAATTAATACAGGTTTTGTGAAACAAAATGGCTTAAGGTTGTTGTCCGCATCCGCTTAACAGGGGTGTCCGCCAAAAGCACGTTTATTTTACAGTAAATGTGGGAAACAATTTTGGGACTCAAGCTGGTGTCCACTTTTAATATGGGGTCTGCTTAATACAGGTTTTGCTGTGGTTAAATATATATATAAACACAGTTTGTTGCTGTTGTTGCTTTTACCGACAATCCTGAGTTCTGTCTGAAAAAAACCCTGCTCAGCATCAACACTCATAATACAAGGATAGTCATTGGGTTATACGTAAAGGTACATCCTCCTTTCCTTCAGCAGCATTTTCTACCAGTTAGGTATACTAGTGTACTGTTAACTTGAACAGACTTGATAAGCTGTGATTGCTTCTAGTTTCAAGTTAAGTGGCCTATTTTGTAGTCGTGTCAACACATCTTTTTCAAAAGAGCTGAAGTGCACTTTCAAGTCAAGCTCAACCGTCCTTACCAGCTTTCTTGTGCATTGTCAAAACAATTTCAGTGAATTGAATGTCAATCACATGTGTATTTTCTTTAACATATTAGAACACACAAGACTTGCCATTACACCTCGCCCGCAAGGGAGCAACTTCCTCACACTGTATTCTGTAGGTGACATCTGATATGACCTTGACGACCCGCCAAGGTCCAGACCAGGGACGATAGAACTTCCGGTGCACCCACCGGGGAATGGCCGTCTCCTGCAACCATACCAGATCACCAACTTTGTACGGTCTTGATTTCCGCTTGCAGCGTGCATCGTAGACATCTTTCTGGTGACGTAGACTGGCCTCCAGATTATTCTCCACTCACTCCTGTACCCCCTTAAAGGAGCTCAGTCACGGTTTGCGCATATTGAAACGTTAAGCCTCAATTTTTCAAATTCGTCATTTGTAATCCATGTCAATCTTCTCCATCCATAGCCATCCTTGTTCCTTTATGGTTTATCATTACATAATTATCTCTTTGGTGTTTTTCTGTCTTATTAAACTGTTATTTTCAGGTTTCCTACCATTTAAAGGTAATTTTGTATGTGGCCAAAATAACTCAAAATACCGTGACTGAGCCCCGTCAAGGATTTCACGCTGCTTCTTCGCAAAAGGCGGGTCTCTCTAGGGTCTCTTGCCTGCTTTCAGCCACTGCAGTGCGGCATTCAGGTGCTTGTCTTTGGGTTGCTCTGTTCTAAGATGATCACTAGACCATGGCAGAGGTGTTTGTTTGCATTCTGACCTGAAACCCTCAACAGAAGTTGTGGCATCACTTCTGGTAGTCTGTCCAACAATCACTGATGCAGGGGAATTCTCTGTTTCCTCCAGCATGTCAGCCACATGGTTTTCTGGCCGAGGTCGATTGAGAAAGGCCATTGGCATTGGCGTGTAGACGACCAGCCCGGTGTTCTATGTTCATGTCAAACTGTCATAGGTACTCAACCCATCTAGCTTCCTGCAGCTTGGGTTGCTCAAAGGTCTGAAGCCACACCAATGATCGGTGATCCAACCAAGCAACAAACTGTTTGCTGATCAGGTAAGGGTAGAATGCTTCTGTCCCGAACACTAGCGCATACACCTCAATCTTGGTTGGTGCCCACTTTCTCTGCGATTTCGTCAGGGCCTTGGCAGTATTGCGATTGGACGCTCTTCGCCATCTTGCATTTGAGATAACACAGCAGCAATGCCAATTGCACTAGCGTCAGTGTCTAGTACAAATGGAAGGTCAAATCGGGGAAAGGTGAGTACAAGGGCTTCACATAGGGCTTGCTTCAGGGTATCAAACGATTTCTGGCAGTCATTAGACCACACAAAGTTCCGTCCCTTTCCTCGAATTGGAAGAGGGGGGCTGCAAGAGTTGCAAAATCTGATATGAACTTTCTGTAGTAACCAATCTTTCCCAGAAAAACATGCAACTGAGACACATTGGTTGGTGGTGGCCAGCATTTCACTGCAGAAACCTTTTCAGGGTCTGTAGACACTCCTTGCGTGGACAAGATGTGGCCAACAAAAAGTGCACATTGTAGCAGGACACGACATTTCTCTGGCTTCACTTTCAATCCAGCTTCCTCAATGAGGGTGAGAGCATGATCCAACAACTCACAGTGCTTGGCAAAGGTGGGACTAAAAACTAAGACATCATCAAGGAACACCAAAAGTTCTTCCCATGTCATTCCAGCTAACAAACTAGCAATCTGGCACACAAAAAATGGCGCTGCATTACAAAGCCCAAATGGAACTTGCTTCCACTGCCGGTGTCCTTGCTTGTTAGAGAATGCTGTTTTCTCTCTGTCATCTGGATAAATTTCAAATGCATGATAAGCCAAGATTAAGTCCAAGGTTGAAAAAAATATCTCTCCAGCAAGAGTATCAATCGTGTCCTCCACCCTTGGAACAGGGTAATGTTCCTTGACAGTGACACTATTTAGCCTGCAGAAATCAACACAGTAACAGTATGAGCCATCCTTTTTAGAAGTTAGAACAACTTGAGTGCTCCAAGGGCTAGTGGATGGCTCTATCACATCTCTCTCAAGTAGCGATGTGGTGGTGAGAAGTGGTGCTGGGAAGTCTTGAAGGGGGTACAGATCCAGTGTTGATTCGAAGTTGCACCTTAGTGCAGTGGCCAATGTCGTGTGGTCCCCTTGATACTGCTTTAGAATGCTTGGCCATGATTCTCCACACGTTCACCTTCTGATCTTCTGTTATCTGGTCATTGTCTATTGGGAATAATTTTCTCATCTCATCAACTGTATCCCAACTTGGTTCTGCTTCAAATGCACATTGCAGTTGAGTGTCCCCATATCACTGTCATCAAGTATAGTCTCAAACCTGTAGTTGCATGCCATGGGTATTGTTTGGCCCCTCTCTACGACTGGACAGAACTCCCTCCCACTTGTGTCCTTGTAGATGATGACCAGTCGGTCACAATAGTTATAGAAACAGACTGGTACAAATCTGTTATTCACTAAGGATAGGGTACTGGACACCGTGATTGGGAACCGTTGGAAGATCTTATCCATAGGTTCCAGAACTCCCTGAATTCCCTCCAAATTTGCCCCTTTAACCTCGCAAACAAGATCAACTTTCTGGTCCGGCAAAATGGTAACAGTGTCTACCAGGGACACTCTGTGCACTTCCCAACTCGATTCATCTTTCAGTTTCACCTGCATATTCCCGGCATGAAGGGTTCCCCCATTAAAATCGATAACACACCCATTGTCCCTTAAAAAGTCCATTCCAAGTAGGGCGCTCTGCTTGAGACTATCACAAATATAGAATAGCTGTTTAGCTTTTATCCCCTCAACGGCTATGTCTAGCTCCACAGTTCCTAGGATGTTCAGCTGTGAACCCTTGGCACCCACAACCTTGGAGCTGACCCTCCCCAGGGTATTGCCTAAGCCAATATAGTTGAACACGGCATTGCTCAATATGTAAATTGGGTTACCAGAGTCTACCGTTGCTCTTACAGGGACCCCTTTGATCTTGCAGTCAACTAACAATACGTTAGGTTGGATGGAGCTTATGCGTATCACTGGTACTTGGTCTCCGAGCGGGAAGCGACTTACGTTTACGATCTGTCCCCGCCCTGCAGAAGTTTCCCTGGGGACAGTTCCTTTGGGGACAGTTCCTTTGGAAATGATATGTAGACCCACGTGACCAACACCCCCTACCCCAGCCATTGGCTTGTCTGAACTGGGGAGACCTGTTTCCCTGACCACCACTCAAAGGTATAGCATTAACCACTGCCTCAGCTGCTGCTTTGCTGCTTTTGCTGTAGCTGACGCAATCATAGTTGAGAGCCCTGGGGCACATCCTGGCAAGGGTAAGTTTTGTACTTGGTTGGCTTCGCCCCCATGGGTTGACACTTCGTTCACAACCCTCTCCCTCATCCTAATCACTCTGAGTTCTAATGCTTCAAGCTCCAGAGCTTCTGATAGGGCCTTATCTAATGTCAAAGGCTTAGAGCGAATTCCATCCTTTGCCAGTGTTGCCCCAAGTGCATCAGTGAAATGATCTATACAAGTTTGCTCCAAGCTAGCTGTGCTCAAGCTAGGGTAGGCCTTTCCACACAGACGTTTAATATCAATATTCAAATCTAACAAAGTTTCTCCCACCTTTCTTCCTCGAGCCTTGAGCATAGCTTTGACAACTTCAGGGACCTGATGCATTCCACGTAGACCTTTGACCATGCGCTGGTAAGAGTTCTTGTCTTCCGATGAGAGTTGGAGAGTGCCTTCTCCTTCATGCACAAAATCAGCTGATTTGCTTTTTCTTCTTCGTTCCAGTCGTTCACCTTCGCACATACCTCAAACTGATCCAAAAACGCTTGGAAGTCCGTGTCGTTGCCTCTACTCAAAACTTTTTTGGGTTTCACTCGTCAACTTTGCCGACTGACTATTAAGGGTCAGCTGCTTGCTTTCCATCTGCGATACCTTCTCTAGCAATTTCTTCACCAATTCTCTTGCTTCGTTCCTGTCAAGGATTAGCTTGGACTCTTTTTCCTTCAGTTCGCTGACCTGGTGAACAAATCGTTTGTGTTCTTTCTCCAGGGTTTCAAGTTTCTCCAGTGCTTGTCGAAATTCTTCGCTCATCGACTTCAAGGATGCAGTCGTCACCGTCAACTGCTCAGTTAGCCATTCGACAACATCCTCCAGCATTTCTTTTGAGGCCATATCGTTGAATCCCACCACTGCCACCAGTTTAACAGCTAAACAACTCTTTATTTCCTGTTATAAATGGGTACAGCGTCTCTGCAAAACAACTACGGATAATGGCCAACCCAATCCTTGACTTACAACAACAACACACATGGTTTCAACCATGAAGAGACTGGCGCCAGAGGTCTCTTAGTAATGTTACAAAAGGATGGACATCAACCTCCCCTTTACCAGATGGTGAAAGTCGAAAGATGTGGAAATTGTAGGAGCAGAAGTCTAACTTTTAAATTCTGTGCTGGTACGCATTAAATGTCTCTAGGACTGTGACAGACTATGTTGAGGACGCCTCTATCACAATGCGTGAAAATACTAAAGCTTTAGCTTGAATTCATGTGTGGATGAAAAGGAACAGATCGCAGCATATATGAAATTAGCATGTTCTACAGTTTTCGTTTGTTTTAATTACTCAACAAGCTTTAGTAACGACGATTTCTCTTGATTTAAGGATTCAACCAAGGAGGCAAGACTACCAAGAAATGACATACTAAGTTTAAAATTAAGATGTCACAATTAATCATCCAGATTTACAAACTTTTACATACTGCATTAGGAACAAAAGCGAGAGTTGTGAAAGTCAAGCACGATCTCCTTCACATCGTTTTACAGGTCAATCAGAGCAAACTTTCTCACTGGAATCCATGTGAATAAGGATGACGGCTCGACGGTTTGACATCCTCGTGTTGTTCGTGGGGCAATGCCCTCTGGTAAAAATTGGTGCATGCACTCTGGTTAAATGCAGTGCATTCTGGTAAAAAGTGATGAATTCGAGAATTCATCCCCCCTTCTATATATTCTTCTTAAATCCTGCTTATGTTGCTGCTCGCTTGCTATGCTCGCTCTGTAGCAATAATTAGGTTTCCTCAGAGCATGAACAGGCAGAACACAGCAAAACCTAGGATCTGATTGGTTCTGGAAGCAGGGACAATTTTTCAATCTGCCCCTAGTCAAAGAAATCCTGCCTGGCTATCCAGGAATAAAAATGTGTTTAACAAATATGTGCATGAATCTTAAAACATGTACAGTTGAAGCCCGCTATTTCAAACTCTCGGGGGAAACGAAAAATAGTTCAAACTAGAAGGAGTTCAAAATAGCTTATAGTAAATGGCTGAAGAGCAAATGGAAGGGAAATGGTTTTGAGTTCGAAATTTGGGGAATTTGAAATCACCAAGTATGAATTAGCAGGGTCCAACTGTATGCGGTATACATTTTTTTAATTTCTTACTATTGCCAAGTGAATAAAGAAAAATGCAGCAGTGTTAATAATTGAAGGCTTTCGTGCGAAAAGGGTGTATATCGCTTTTTGGACCGATTTTCATTTTTTTCAGGATCGAGCTAATTTTTGGCAGACTGACTTGTTTTGAGATGGTGGCGCTTGGAAAAGTGAGTTTTTTTTGCAGACGTTATTTCTCGAAAACGAAGCACAAATCAACAAAAACCATTACGCAACGATGCTTTTCATGTCAAAACAAGTCAGTCTGCCAAAAATTAGCTCAATCCTGTAAAAGAATAAAAATCGGCCCAAAAAGCGATATATGCCCTTTTTGCACTAAAGCCTTCAATTACCACTTGCTGGTGAGTTCAAATCACCAGTTTCTCACCTGTTTGGGGAGTACATAGTTCATCTTCAGTTTGGTTAGTATTCTAATACCATCCTTTCTTAGCCAGCAGTTCTCAAGTGTACAAAAAATGATTACACCAAGGACATTCAAATAAAGCTGGCATTCATGATTAACAACTTGTTTATCCATCAATTTAACTTTAAAAAACAGGGCAGAAAGGATTTCATGGGGAATGCAACTTTTCACTTTTGTCCAAACAGTAATCTTTATTTCTTTCAAAAACTTGCCAAACAACTGTGGGTGCTAGTGCTGCAACATACACTAATGCACCGGCGAATTGCGATATTTTTTGTCACAATATGAATATCAATATTAGGACAAGATATCGCGACATTATGATATTGTGATTCTTTATGTATAAAAAATTCAACATTCAGAAATAACTGTCTTTTACGACTCCTTACCCAAGTTCAAGTCCTTTCAGAGCTTATGCTAATTATTAAACAAAGGGACCCGGGAAAGGGACAAAAAATTCCATCTTTGCTTCATATTGCTTTGCATGCTTCCAGTCACATATATCTCTCGAGATGTCGGCACAAAAGCAGGCACAGTTCTAATTAATTGTCAGCTGACACAGTCTTGTGCACCCACGGACAAAACACATGGTTTGTCTGGTCTTCACAGCTCTTCTTTGCCTGTCAGTTGTATGTAATGATGTATCGTATCGTGACACTTGTATCGAGATATGTATCGTATTGTGAGAAATTGTATCGTTGCAGTCCTAGTGGGGCTGTAATACACTCTAAAACATCGTGTAACAATCATCTCAGCATACTCATTTCAGAGTTGAAGAAATACCAAAGTCCTATAATAATGTTTTATACACAAACAATGTCAAATTTCTACTGCAGGAAACCCTGACAGGCTTTAAATGGATGGGTAATCTTGCTTCTGATCTTATGGCTCAAGGGAAAACAGTCCTCTTTTCTTTTGAAGAAGCAATAGGTGAGAAGTAAAGGCATACTGTGCATAAGTATAGCTGCTGTTTTTTTTGTTTTGTTTTGTTTTTTTTTTCTAGCCCCTTGTGGTTATTTAGGGTAGCCAGCACTCTCTTTACTCTTTGGTAAAATAAATTATTATTAGCTTGACTAAAATGTCAAGTGCTGGGTACAAATAAAGTTGTTGGTAATCTCACTTAAGGTTGTGCATTTTATTGTTAGGATTTATGTTTGGAACTAATGTGTTTGATAAAGATGGGATAAGTGCTGCAGTGGTCATGGCAGAGATGGCATCCTATCTTAATCGCCAAGGGCTTACTTTAACAGAGCAACTTCACAAGTTGTACCACAGGTTTGGAGTATTGCATACATGTAACAGTTGTATTGACTGGTATACTAGTCCATTTTTAGTGCAGAATGCACTATTGGGATGGTTTTGGGGGCTGCCTGCTGCTAAGGTAATAAGGAACTAAAGCGTTAAGGTGTAAACTTTAATGTTTGTTTAACTGATTAATTTCAATTAATTAATTAATCTAGAGACAAGGAAATGGTGGGGTGAGCTGGGAAAGGTACACGTGTACCCTACATAGAACGTGTTATATCTACGCGCTCGCCAGTTAGGAGTAAACATCACAAAGCTATATTTTTTTTTCAAGTAACCCCTTGCTCTCCTTTGTGGTACTATTCTCTTAAGAACAAAACCAATTTGGTCTAAACGCATGCGCAGAATAGTTAGCGTTCGTGTCTTCTGTACATTAGGTGGAGGATACATTGCATACAGAGAAACACACAAATTTTGAGTAGTTTTCCTTATGGTAGAACCAACATGTAAGAGGCATGCGCTCTAGCATCGTAAGTGTTATATACTATGTTTCCACGTGGTTTTTTATGTCATGTAATGTCAGGTACTAGGTGGCGCCACTTGTCCCTTTTTAGTGCAAAAGTTAAACGTATCTTTTAGAATTAACCACAGGTTGGTTCAACAAATATCATCTGCTGTTTTCAAACTACAATAGTATGTTTTTCAGGGCTTAAATAAAGAAGAGAAATGTGAAGTTTCTCATTAGCGGCTTATTTATTTCTTGCTCAACGGCGTCTGTAAGAGAGACCAAAAAGTTTCCGAGTTAGTGGCTTTAATATTCTGCAAATTGTAAATTTGTGACAAAAGAAACCTGGAAAGTGCTCAAATATTGCTGCAGACTCCGTGGCACCTAATGAAAGCACACATTAATTTAATCAGTCTTTGAGGAGACTAGTTCATCAATGCAGGATAATATCGGCCAAGTGGCGCTGTTTACCTTCAATACTTCTCATTGAAATGCTTCCCAGTGGTATCAGTGTATATTGTTGTGTATTAATTTTGAATTGTTTTATTGTAACAACAAAGGTGGCAACAGGAAAAGAAAGTGGTATTCCGTGACTATCTGATAATTGAATTAGTTCTTGTTCATCTGTGATAAAAAAAGTCTGCGTTTTGAAAAAAAAAAAATTGTTTCTCTTCCATTTCTTTGTCAGATATTTAACTTTCTTTCATATATCCCCAAAACAAGCCCATCTTCCATGTGTTTTGGAGAAAACAAGAGTTTCATGTTACATACCTTTGCAAGGAAAACAAAAGTATCAAGTTACAAAGTTGGTGCGAAGAGCTAAATTGTCACATTTGTTCAACGTATTATTGAATTTAAAATGAACGAAAATCATCGTAAGACACCAGAGTAAAATTTAAAAGCTGTCGTGACGAACAGTAATTGTACATAATTTTCGGACCTTGAATGAAAATACAACCCTGAAACATACTCACTGCTAAAGGGAAAAGCCCTAGCAGACTACCCAGGTAGATACAAACCGGAAGTGAGCCGAGAAGGGGTGTGTACTTATGGGACTACCGTGTCAGAGCTATCAATTACAGTCTGCACTATCAACATAGATTGTCTCGCTAGATTGTCTCTCTAGTTAAACTGAAAGTGGCCTGTGAGGCAAGAGCTTATATCCAGTTTCATTGCATGAAGCGACAATGAGAATTTCTGTACCTCCTGAATAAGATAGGTGGAGATAGACACTGAGACAGGGTCGAAATGTTGCCAGTCTACCTATTGATTTCAGGTAATTTTAGAAGGTGACAGAAAAAATTATTGATGCCTGTCACTGGCGACAGGCAAGAATTCAGAAATTATTGATTTGAAGAATATTTTCATCCATCTTCCACCTGCAGTCATGCTCACTCATGCAGTTCTCACACGGTAGTTACCAGACTCTACTCAATAAAAGCGAGATGATACAATCTTTGCAGCGTGCATGACAAAGACGGCAAATGTGACTTGCTTTATACTTCCACATTTCTTCGCCGATCAAGCGTGAATGAGTTCAGTATTTCAGTTCGCAATATGGATAATTTTCTAACGCGTAAACAGTGTGCTAAACAAGCGGAAGTTGAAGAAATGCAGGTAGAAGAGAATTTCGAAACACCGACGACAATACGGAATAAACTACATGCACGAATATTCAAGTTCAATGAGAAATGGAAAGATGGTTGCCCGTGGTTAATTGTCAGCAGAGGATGGAATGATGTTCTGTTCTTACAGCAAAGAGTTTGATAAAACAGGTAGAAACAAATTCATCTCAGGCTGTGAGTCGATGTGCATAGAGAATGTCCACTTACATGAAGCAAGCAATTCTCATGCCTGCCACTGAATTATGGTGGAATGATGCTAAAAAAACCCATGAGACTAGTGGATGCCTATGGGTCAAACCAAAGGCCTAAACAGGCTGAGACAATAAATTGACAACAAAATGTCATTGCTTTCTATCATTTTATTACTAGCGATTGTACAACCTCAGTTGAGTTTTAAAAAGTGAAAATAAATATAAAAATAATATTGTTCAAGTTGGATGTTGGTGGAGAGAGGTGAAAAAATATTCTGCCTGGGTTTCGAACATCACGCTGTGTCAAGTTACATATTCTTTGAATTTCTGACGCAAGTACTAAATATCTTACGGCAGAAATGACCTACATTGAATAGACTTTCGAACAAGTGTTTTTATAGATAGAAGCTAATTATATAAATAGCTCATTTCCCAAAGTTGTTCGCTTATACAGGTTTAAGCGTACTTGATTGTCAAAAACTGAGGAGATATTGAAAATCACAAAATTGATGAGCTGTATGAATTTTCGAATTTTGATTCAAGCTGTGATTAAAAGTGTTGGACAATCAACAGACAAGAGAATTGAGGAGAATTTGAACGAAGTATTTTGCTATCTTTTATACAGTATTGTGAATAAATGCTTCAAAGATGAATACAGACATGGTGGAATGATTTGAACTAAATAGTTGATAAATAGAAAAAAAAAGACATTGCACAAGACTGGGAGTTCAACAGTCACTTATATCGCCTTGGAGAGGGAAGGGAAAAAAAATACAAGAAAGAAGTACTGTTATTACCACACGGGGTTTTCATATTTGGTCACCCATCCAAGCATGAACCCCACCAAACAGGGCTCAACTTTGTTGAGCAGACGAGATGTGGTGCTGTCCTTGTGGTATACAATTTATGACTCTACGTTGGATTTTTTTTCTCTCAAAAAGCAACAAAGAAAGAAAAAATCACTGATATCCCCTGGGGAAATAAAGAACAAAATAATAGGGATGAAAATGAGAATCCGATTATACTTGCTTTGCTGATCAGACAAGAAGCCGTACTTTCTTTATAATTGGATGTGTGAAAAAGGTAAAAGATTGAAGATTACCACTAATTCATTCACAAAGATAGATCAACACGACAGATTCTGCCTGCTGTGGCAGGCCGGATGGGAAAATTCTGCCATTCCTGGAACCAATCAGAATGCAGGATTTGTTGAATTCTGCCCGCTCATGAGCTGAGAAAAAATAAAGTATTTTTTTTCATTTATATCAAATAAAATCTGAGCTCTTTGAATTTTTAAGATTTTCTAATCAAATTTTCAATTTGTTGAACTGAAATAATTATTCTTTTTGTACTCTTTTTCGATCAAACTTGACAACAAATAACCAATCACTTTTCAGAATTTATGAACCAGTTACACTGCATCAAAACTGAGTATTTTCACATCGGCTAGGTCATGTGTTTTTATTTATACCCAGCCCGTTTTATGAAGCTCGATTAGGCGTAGAAATTTTCGTAGAGCTCTACGACTCTCCAGTAGTGTTTTGAATGTTTAAGCTCTGTTTCTCTCGGATATGCGTACACCATGGAGGTGTAGTGGCGTATTGTAGCAAATGTTATATCGCTTAGGGAATGTTGAGGGTTATTACGGATTGCAGCGTTTTAATAATTGTTTTCAATCTAAAATTCTGTATTGAGTTTACCCTCTACCCTCTACCCTCTACGCTCTACGCTATATGTTCTACTACATTCTACTCACTACTTTCTACCAGCTACTCTCTTCAATCTATGCTCTTCGCTCAACGATCTACCATCTACCATCTAAGTTCATCTGCACTCTACATCCTACCAGCTACTCTCTTCGATCTACACTCTACGCTCTACCATCTACCTTCTAAGCCCATCTACACTCTACTCTCTACGTTCTACCAGCTACTCTCTTCAATCTATGCTCTACGATCTACGATCTACCCTCTAAGCCCATCTGCTTGGAAGGTTATTGGAATTTTCTAATTTTTTTTTTTTAATTTCCTAATTTTTTAATGAAGACTAGTGAGCAGGACAAAAAGAAGACTTCTTGTAGTGGTAAGCTTTTTCATTTATTTCCAACGCGTTTCGTCTCTGTCTGAGACTTCTTCAGTTAATAATTACAACTAGCATTGAACAGCATATATTGCACATTAGCTTGCCTTAGTTTAACTTCCCATGGAAGTGAATAACTGCTGAAACATGCTGTAAACACATGTTACAAGAAATGCCTTAATGCATATGTTATTGTGTGTTGTTATATTTTGGGGGCCATACGATTAGCGCTAATCGTATGGCCGCCAAAAAACATACTCTTTGCATAGATGTGCTAAAGTGGTAGTAGATTTATAACTGACAATACAGTCTAAGTCTTGTAAATGTCTCTGGATAACCAGCTTGATGTTAGTGGTTCTAGGTTTAACCATTTATTCGAACTTGAAATGAACAGCAATCTCTATGACGAATTATGACCCTAAAAACTAGTAAACAACATCTCCACATGGTCGCAAAACATCCACTAAGCGTTCAAAGTCACGTGACCTAAGTATTCACACTTTTTAAGCACACTATAACAAAATGTCCTTCAAATCAGTTAGCATAACTACAGTTAAATGTAGATTTAAAGACTACCATTCTAAAACCCAACTGGATAACCATGAAGCCGGAGGCGCTTCCAGAATTTCTCGCATTTTGCTAAAGGCTTTATACGTGGAGCTATTTCTAGCATAGCACACAAGCTAGCCTCTAATATAGGCCCTCTTGTTGCTCACGGGATGAAACAACTCAAAGGGAACGTACAAATACTTATTTAGCAGCTTTTGATTGGTAGAAAACTGCAGAGTGCTAAAATTAGCATCTTTGTAAAGAAATAAATCGAGAAAGGAAATACTAATTTCGTCAATAATATAGAGCAGTTTTCAACTGAGTGTCGTAAAACCAAAACCAAACTAGTCACTCTGGCCAATCACAAAAGACACAGACAATCTAGTGAACCAATCAAAGCTCGAAGTAATTACATGTAGCTGATGCGAAGCGTGGGAAAATGAGTGCGAATGAGTTACAGTTGGTTTTGGTTTTACTTCTGGTTGGATGAAAAAGTAGCGCGAGTTTTTTTAAGCCAATCAGGTAGCGTAATTTATGCAAAACCAATTACTTTTCAACACTCAAATGAAAACCGCTCGAGTACATACGTTTGATACGATCATTCTTGCTATAGAGATGACTAAGAAACTCTAAGAGGATTTCTTTGGGACCCTTCCAAACAAAAAATATGTCTTTTTTTAATGTTTTAATTTTTTAATATTTTTTTTATTTTTTATCTTTTTTTTTTTTTTAACTTAGTTTGGGGGCCATACAGTTAGCGCTAATCGTATGGCCCCCAAAATATAACAACACACAATAGCATGTACATTAAGGCATTTCTTGTAATGTCCGTTTGCAGCATGTTTCAGCAGTTATTCACTTGCGTGGGAAGTTAAACTTAGGCACACTTAAATCATTTCCTGAAGAAGTCTCAGATAGAGATGGAGCTCGTCGGAAATTAACGAAAAAGCTTACGACTACAAGAAGTCTTCTTTTTGTGCTGCTCACTAGTCTTCGTTAAAAAATTAAAAACTGAAAAAAAATTAAAAAACTCCAATAACCTTCCAAGCAGATGGGCTTAGAGTTTAGATCATAGATCATAGAGCGTAGATCAAAGAGAGTAGTGGTAGAACATAGAAAGTAGAGCTTAGATGGGCTTAGAGGGTAGATGGTAGAACCTAGAGCATAGATCAAAGAGAGTAGTGGTAGAACATGAACGTAGATGGACTTAGAGTGTAGATTCAAGAGAGTAGCTGGTAGAATGTAGTGAGTAGAATGTAAATGGTAGAACATATAGCGTAGAGTGTAGAGGGTAGAGGGTAAACTCAATACAGAATTGTACATTAAAAAGATTATTAAGATACTGTAAACCATAATAGCACTAAACATTCCCCATGCGCTTTAATATTTGCTACAATAACTGTAAGCCTCTACGCCCGTACATAGAACCGCAGAGCATAGAGTGTAGATGGTAGAGGGTAAACTCAATACAGAATTTTAAATTGAAAACGATTAGAACACTGTAAACCGTAATAATACTTTAATATCACTTAAATATATATGAGTTATATGTGAGGAATATGCTACAAACTGAAATCAAATGTTACAAAATAGGCAGGTAACCATAGTAACCATACACAACTACGGTAAAAGCTATGAAGTGGGAGGTCATGTATCTTTCCAACACGTAGGAGGAGACTGGTGATGAAAGCGTAGAGTTGTAGAGCTCTACAAAAATTAATACAACAAATCGAGCTTCATATAACGAGTGCCAGTTGTTTTATTTCATTGTCATTAAATGTTATTTCTTGTTAAATGAAGTTTGGTGTATGTCGTTTTTAGGTATGGTGTCCATGTGTCAAACAACTCTTATTACTTGTGTTATTCTCCAACTACAATAAAGAACATTTTTAATCGCATAAGGACTCTTGACAATGGTCAGGTGAGTGAATAGTTCTCCTCTATTTCTTTGAAAAAGAATGAAAGCAATACATCACAATGTTTACAGATAGCTTCAGGCATTTTGGGAAGGTATTTGAAAAGACCAAGTGCATTGCCCACTGCCTACAGATCAACTCATGATTAACCTGAGCTTGTGAATAGTCTGTTTTCCAAATGTATAATGAACAAGTCAATACACCTCGGGATGGGGTACTCCCATATAAAAGGTATGGGGATGCTCCTCATACCTTTTAGGAGTTAAAAAAAGGCGGGGGTTGGTACCTCTTAGCTGTTCAGCCTCAAAAGGTCCGCATGGGTTGTTCTAGAATTGGTACCTACATGTATTAGGCGTGAAAAAAAAATTCAAGCTATGCCCACAAGACAAGACCTTGGTACCTCTTAGTGGTTCTTTTCAAAATTTCCAACAAGCACCCGTGTCCTTTTTATATGGGAGTCTGCCCAGGCATTGCATGTTTTTCTTCTGCCATTTTGAGCAAATGAGCATTTTGTAAGTGTTTCATAGAGTACGAATTGCACTCACCCTATGGGTTCATGGAATGTTTTCAGTCTTTGAAAATTTTACTTGTGCTTATTCAGTGCTGGAAATTACAGGCGGTCACGGTCAGATATCAAGTCCAAATACTAAAAATGACCTAGCTTTCTGTCTCGAAGATCGTGTTTGCACGTTTGCTTTGAAATGTATTGAAAGTTATAATTCAAACAGATGCACCTTTTGTGTTATTTGAATAGACTCTCCGGACTTATAAACAAGAAAGGAATGTTTAGGCAATATTTGTACCTCGTGTATGGCTAAGGAGGGAGTCATAAGTTTATTTTTGCACCCAAATTACATTAAATGGTATGTCCAACCAAATTTGTAATCACAGACTGATTATAATTTCAGTAAGATATTGACGGATTTACCTAGAAAGTGTTGAATTTAGTATTGAACGTCAAATTTGTCATTCAAGACAGTGGATTTATTTTGGACTCTCACACCAGTCATCTACTCACATCGATTGGTTCATATTGAGTAGTGCTTGGGAGTCAGTACATACACAAGGATTTATAATAAGAAATATCACAGTATTTTTGTGACTTACCACGAAACTTTTTAAGATACATGTGACCGTGAACGGGAAAACGTACCTTAACGCTTATTCGTTAAACGGTCACTAACGGACGGATAGATAACGGATAGTTAATGGCCTTCACAGCAGTCTAACATTTTGTCCTAACGCTCTAACGGTTATCTAATTGTGCCTAACAGATGATCAAAGCGTTCTAACGCTTTCTCCTAACATTCTAACAGCTAACTAAGTATACCTAACGGATGAAGAAAACGTTCTAACGGTTGCGCAATTTGTTCTAACGGATGACTGGAGCCATTTAACAGTTGTCTAATGGTCTACATCTAAGGATGTTTAACGGTTGTCTAACGGTTTACATCTAAGGGCGTTTAACGATTGTCTAACGGTTTACATCTAAGGACTTTTAACGAACGAATAACATAGCTTTCAGTCCGATGTTATAAACACATAATCATGCCAAACCATTATCAGTCTTACACTCACGATTTTAAAAAAAATGAATCACGAAGTGCTGATTTCATCAGTCGTTGGTGAGACGAACATTAAAAAAGTTATTTCCATGGTGAGCATTGAAAGCAAAACTCAGTGATACAAACTATCACTTCCTCATTGAGACAGACAAACTCAGAATTCAAGTCCTTTATTATCATGTGGGACACGAACCTAAAGCCTTGGTCAAACGGCGCATGATAGTTGAATGATTCTCCCCGAATTTTCACCGACTATCGTCAATTATCATTGACTATCATGTGCCGTTTGACCAAGGCTTAACATTGCTAAACCTGCATGTAAATGGGTAACCCGAAAACACTGACCCCCAGTCCACCGACCCCCACTACGGACCGGGTCCGTGGACCCCCACTACGAACTGGGTCCGCGGACTACCTATGGACCGATCCAGGGACCCCCTCTACGGACCACCCCTAAAATATAATAAAAATAATAAACAAATATTTCAGTTTCGGGTTGTCTAATAGATTACTCGTGACGGCGAAATTTCGAACATTACATTGTGCAAATGGGCAGACCTGGATTCAGGCCCAGGTGCAATTTATATAATGACACATTGCCATTTCCTTTGCTGTGGCCATAAAGTGTATGAAAGACGTGTACGGGAAAGCCTCTGGGAAGCCTCGGAATTTGTGTTCTTTCCCCTCTGCCATTTTGTTCAGCCCATCTCCCGTAGGTTCATGAACTCATTCCAGGCTTCACAATTTACTCAGCGGAATAACAGATTCAAACAAGAACAAACGGCCTAAAAATATATCTTCCATAGCCAGATTGAGCCACAAATGGAAGGTAAGAACTTTCCTTCTTACCATCAGCATCTCCTTACGCTGAAAACAGCTTTTAGGCATTTTTTTGGGAGGGGAGCTGGGGTGTTAAAAACCCAAGTCTGTTACATTTGCACAGTGTAACACTCGAAAAATCACCGACATGAGTCTGAATCTATTAGACAACCCATGAGTGAAATCTTTATTTATTAGCTTCCCCGTATGCGTCGTATACTTTATGGCCACAGCAAAGGAAATGGCAATGTGTAATTATATAAATTGCACCTGAGCCTGAATCCAGGTCTGCCCATTTGCACAATGTAAAGTTCGAAATTTCACCGTCACCGGTAATCTATTAGACAACCCGTAACTGAAATATATTTATTATTTTTATTATATTTTCGGGGGCGGTCCGTAGAGGGGGTCCATAGGGGGAGTCCGTGGACCGGTCCATAGGTAGTCCGCGGAGCCGGTCCGTAGCGGGCTTCTGCGGACCAGGGGTCAGTGTTTTCAGGTTACCCGCGTGTAAACACTTTAACTCGCCAGTCGGGGTGAACACTTTTTATTGTTTTACTCAAATGGACTTGTTGCTGGTACTTAGTTTTACACAGTGACTTTGTCTAGAGGTTTTTAAAAGTAACTGTTTTATCCAGCTGTGGATTCGCGAAAGATTATGCTTTCTTGACAGAGCATGCGAAAAGCGGTACTATTTGAAGTCACGAAGCTAGTCTCAAAGCGACGAGCATTTTGTTGGCGCTGGTTTCATCAGATAAAGTTGTTTTTGTCACACATGTGGTTTAAATTGGTTTCTTGTGATTCAGAGTCAGACAACAGTCTATCAAAATATTCATCACACTTTCTGCGGGAATATGGCCATTTCTCACATCTTGGAAGATGTAAACAACTTTATCCAAATTTTTGAACCCGCACTTTGTGAATTGAAACCAATTTCTTGACACATGATCAGTGTTTACTCCTCAGAACATCTTTATTCATGGCATGGCCATTTCGGTTGAGTTTTCTCTGTGTTTGTTTCATCCGTTTATGGCATTTGTAAGGTATTTTTAACTTTCGTTTGTTCACGAATTACAATAACAAATTACAAGCTCTCAAAACAACTGGACTTTGTCGAATAAATAAAACAGTTCATAGAATGACCATCGTTGTTATGATTTTACATGTCATTTCTGTTTTTGAAAGCAGAAAACATGTTTTGTGTTGGATCATGTATAATAATTATAGTATGACGGCTTTATTGAATTTCGTTCAAGTTGTATTTATCAATCATCAGGGCATCAAAGAATAATAATCGCCAAACTTCTCTCATGATTGTTTTGACCTAGATGGAAGCCAAGAGCTGCCCTCGTTTCACACTGTGTTAGGCTACCACATTCAACTTCAACGCGTGTCATGCCATTCTAACGTAATCGTTACCCGTTTAACGGATGCTAGTTTATTCTGACGGATCCTAACGGCTTCTCTAGCCGTGCTAACGGATACAAAGTTTTTGCTAATGGTTATGCTGTCCTGTCTAACGGTCTGATGTTAACGGCTAACGGATACATGTCTCTTGCTAACAGTTGCACTCTCCGTTGTAACGGCTTGATGCTAACATCTACCGGTTGCACTAACGCCTCTAATGTTTTTAAGGAAAACGTTCTAACGGATGACTAACAGGTGCTTAACGCTTTTGCCCATCTAACGGATAAGCGTTAAGGTATGTTTTCCCATGCACGGTCACACATGTAAAAATGTCACTGAAATCATTAGCTTGATTCTGATTGTTTCATAAGCAATTGAACCAAATGGGCTAAGATTACAGCTTGCACATGCATCGAGCCATGAAACCATCCCTTAAATTGAGAATCGATTTAAATAAAATAAACAAGGGGTACACACAGTACACTACAAAGAAGGTGTTGCTCTGATACATTTGTTTGATTGTGGTGTTTTCTAAAGCAATTATAGATTATAGTTATTGTCTAGAAGTGAGTAGCTCTGGGTCTGGCATAAAAATTAAATTTTAGCCGCTTGATCTGACACAGTCTGTCATAGCTGGCAACATATAAAATCACCTTTGACAAGTTTCAAATGCCTTGAATAGCATTTGTTAAACACATGTTGGTCAAAAAGCCTCAGTTGGTTGTCATTTACTTAAATTCATTGAGGTTTGAACCTTCTGGGATTGAAGTGATGCCTGTTACTTGCCTAGATGGCTTACTGAACTTGGAATGTTTGTTCACTTCTTGCTTTGTGAAATTTTTAAACCAGTTAGCTTCTACCAGCTTGCTATTCTCACGTTTGCAAATTGCAGTTATTTGGTGTCCACTCAGGCCTCAAATTTAACAGATCTTGCTTTGCTTTCATTTGTTCCAGTATCCTAGTGCATGTGGTCCTTATAAACTGTCAGGTATTAGAGACTTGACTGCTGGGTACGACAGTACCAAGCCTGATAACAAACCGGTGAGTAAATACAGCTTTAGTACCCATGCTGCTATTTCGTCTAGCAACAGTTGCAAACATTTTTTTTTTACAGCAATGTCACAATGGTAACTGTCGTTGTTGTTGTTGTTGTTGTACAAGTCCTTTGGTAAACCATTTTACCGAACTTAATTTTGCCCACTATAGTTAATTATCATTAAAAAGTTTTAACTTTCCTTCAAAAGAAAGAAAGAGTAATGAAAACAAAGAATAAAAAAGCCCGACATCATTTATCTTCTTTCACTCTGAGTCTCAAATTTGTAGGAAGATCCAGAGCAATTTCATTCAGAAAGTGAAAACATGTTTTAAAGTCGCAAGACTCTGAGGATGACTTCTGCCCAGGTTGTCGAAACGTCAGTAACCAACAACAGTTCTCTTCGGAACTACCCTCAAATGGTTAATCACATTTTATAGGAATTTCAGCAATGAAACTTTAGTACCTAGCAAACTTCCCACACTTGTCTCTTTATATTTGCATTTTTGGGGGTTTATTTAAAGTACTACTTCTACTTTTTACAAGTGAATGCAGAAGCAATGAACGAGTATAGCAAAGGACCAAATTCCACCCACTCAATTCCTGTTAACTTTAATGGCACCAGTATTGATTTATACATTTTAATTTACACATACACTGTACAAGAAAAATGTTGAACAAAGTGTACCCACTTTGTTCACTTCTAATTTTTCAAGGGTGACATTTCTCCCCAGTCTCAAATAAATACACTATTTTGAAGCTCAAAATGGAAAGAATAGCCAGGAGGAAAATTTGCTCACCGAGAAAGAGGACTTTGGTTTAGGAAAAAAAGCTCAATTATTAATTTAACAGTTGCAGGAAGCCTGTTATTGGTAAACTTTCCCAAGGTTTGTAACTTCCAGCAAAAGATTGAATTTTACCATATGCTGCTGTCACATTGAAGTGGCATTTGCAAGTGTCCAGGCTAGAGAGGCTTCTAATTTCCCTCACACTTTGCTCTATTTTGAGTACCAGTATATGATACAGTCTTCTGCAAAAGTAATGCAAGCAAAATGAGCGAATTTCGTTCTTTGTTCCCGTGATTTTTCAATGAAAGTTTGCTCGAAAGTTCGATTGAAATTTCACAGCCAGTTAAGCGATAATTCCCTGTAACAAAGGATGGTATTTCTTTGAATTTTTGTTAAGTTAACGAAAAATAATTCACCAGCCTATACTCTGATTTCGCTAGGCGTTTAACTGGAGGTCGCCAGCGTTTGCGCAATTTTCGCAACTTTTTGTGACTGATCGATGTACTGACGAAAAAACTGTCATGTAACTTACACAAGATAAATTTGGATTCATGTATTTGCTTGTAAATTCATGCCGGAGAACACAGTATGCAGTCATCGATCGCTATATACATGTAAAAGGATAACATACAGTCACATGCCTAAAATTTGCGAAAGGTTTTCAAGCAGGTTCGTTCTCTTGAGTTCAGTTTCATATGCAGAGAATTAGAATGTACTTGCCACATTATTAAAACAGAGAGCTCAGTTTTTTCCACAAACAAAACAGAAACATCTTTAGTTCTGGGTATTAAGCCGTTTAAGCAAACAGCCACAAACAACTTGTGAGGAACTTTCAATCAAAACACACCTTTCTTTAGCTGGATACACCCAGCGTTTCAATCGTGTTTTGCAAAGTGGCAGCAATACATACTATTCACTAATACAGCCTAAACTTCATAAACAAAGGTTATCGAAGCCACCTTTGAACATAAAAGTTTTTAGGTTCTCTACTTTTATAGAAAACTAGAATGTTGTCAATTTGAACGCTCACGAAACCATTCAGTTGCTGTTTATTCAATCCCAGCCCCCTCATGGTTATTTGTTATAAAAATACTGGGTGTACTTCGCTGCATTTTCATTGCCTATGTAGTATTCTTTGGGACTCTAAAACTTACAGGGAAAAATAATTCTGGAAGACCTCCTTCACAGAAATGCAACCACGATTTGTTTCTAAAATTTATTACGAGTTTGCCTTGCCGGTGGTGAGACCTTTGCATGGCGGATGAACTCACGGTAATTCCATGTTTTGCCAACTTCTTCTGGATCTAGCGGTGTCATAAAAATGTGGGGAAATTTCCTCGAAATATCGTTTCAAGCTAAATTTCTTTGAAAAGCCAAGAAAAGCCAGGAATTTTCTTCAACTCGTTCAGAACTTCGCTGCTTGGATAATTAGTGGTACATATAAATTTAAGCATATAACNTTAAAGAAATATCTCTAAACTTTTAGCTACTTACATTCTCGTACTGATTTTAATCGGCTTTCATCGCTTATAAATGCGCTTGAATTTTCAGAACCGGGCTCTCCCTAATTTGCATAATCTGTAATCGGCCCGTGGGCATTACGGCTGCATAATGACCGCTCAGAACTCGCTCTTAGCCAATCAGAGCGCGCGTTATATCGGCCACAAGCCAAAGCCATATAATAAAGTTGTGTTATGCACTTGAAATGATTGATTAATGTTTTATTGGGGGGACAATGAAGCCATCTGAATAAGAAGGGTCGGCCCGCTTGCAATGCAATGAATTTCTTTGCTTTCTTTTTTCAGTGTGGACATTCTAGCTGCTCACGAAACTCTTCAAGCCATTGTTAACAGAATGATTAATGAGTATTTACAGCCTGAAGTAAACAATCTTACTCCAAAGCAAGACTAGTGACTTCTGGCTTTCCTTGCTTATGAAGAAGACATAAACCAGGCGTGCAGCAAATGTCTTGGTGTTGATTTCTTTGGATTTCAGTTGATCTGCTGATCGTAACTTTCTTCGTAATTGACTAGTGTCTTGATTGAACCAAAAGTGAAATGGACCATGAAGATTCACTCGTATCTACCTTATGATGGAGTATATATTTTATAACTAGGACAAAATATTGTTATTATAATATAAACAGATGAGTAGATACAAACATCTAAATGGAATTTGTACGGGTCAGAAATTTCAACAACTGCTAGTAAATTATTGCGATGATTTCTCATTTTACTGTACCCAAAATTACAATTAGTTTATCAGAAGCCTAGTTTACTGTCCTACTTTCCTGTAGTACCAACTCACTGATCTGTTATAGCCAGATTATCGGACGAATTATGGTACAGACCTGATCCGCCCGCTTGGTAAACTTTGTTTGGTCGTACCTTGGGAATTTTGGCTCGACTGACCTAAATACGAACCATGCCTCGACCAGCCTCACCTAATCTGGCGCCAAGGCGTACTAATCAGAATGAAGTGAGTGAGTGCCATTGGACTGCCTTCTAAGCTCATGGAAGACTACGTCATCCATGAGAAAAAAAGTATAGGTACTATTGAAGTCTGCATCTCTCAAACATTTAGTAGGCGTTCGATTGACTGTTTACCGCAATGACAGTAAATGGGATAACCCCAAATTTCCGTTGAATGGAGTCGCTCATCCAACTCCGGGATACGAGTAATGTTTTCCCAGCATTTTGCTCAAGGAAGAAGAATGTATGAAATCATCTGGAATAATGAAGTCTTCGCGTCGCATTCTTGGGCAAAGCAACAAATAGAAATGGTGGCCGCTGGTTGTGAAAACAAGCTTTGAACGTAGCACGAAAATCCTGAGTTGTTAGCGAGGGTTGGGCAATCGATAGACATCTGTCTCATTATATAGTTCGTCTAGCGTCTGTTGAAGGTTCTCCATAAGACCAGACGATTGATTAAACTCTCTGGTAGTCTCTCTGAGACACTTCTTATCACTACATTGTACAAGCAAATGAAGAAGTAATTCCAAAGTATAAATAAAGACAAAGAGACAAGTGTATGAACTGAATGCGGCGTGCAGATACATTGCTCTCGTTGCTCCCGGTCACTTTCGACTCAAATCAGCCTGGAGCAAAGAGTTCCGGCTGTATTCTGGATTGGAGATGATTGCTGCGAGGAAACGAGAGCGGATCACTACCCTATGACCATGGCGACAGGTGTCTTGAAACTCGCGAGATTCTCATGATGAAAATAATCCGGTACCCCGTTAACTAAATCACACCACTCGGATACGAAAACGGCAAAAAAGCCAAAGAATTCAGGAATTGGATCGATTGTTTCTGAAACGTAATCTTTTTATTGGCATACGGTCGAAATGGCTATTCTGGAATAATCCAGAATATATTCTCTTGGAATAAGGATAACAATGGGGTGACAGGCCTACACAACTCCTATCCACGTGTAATAGCCGCTTTGAGAGTTTTGCTCGAACTAGTATATCTTTGAGGACCTGCCCCTTATGTATTGTACGATAGGGGGATCTTTGAATATTTCGCTAAGCAATAATCCTGTTTTTAGGAGGACATTTCACCAGAGTAGAGCCTTTAGAGGTCATAGGTCTGCGTAGTTTCCGCTGTTATTCGCGTGTAATTTGTTGAGTT